AAAAAGATTTTATTTATTTATTTGACAGAGAGAGACACAACGAGAGAGGGAACACAAGCAGGGGGAGTGGGAGAGGGAGAAGCAGGCTTCCCGCGGAGCAGGACCCTGGCATCATGACCTGAGCTGAAGGCAGACGCTTAACGCTTAACGACTGAGCCACCCAGGCGCCTCAAGCACAACTAACAATTTTAATGACCAGTAAATATAAGTAAGGCAAAAATACCTAGAGTTAAATTAGGAAAAGTAAAATGAAATTCTAGGATTATTCCTTGATAAATCCTCTGATAGTTAAGGTTGACATGCACCAAAGTTTTCGTTTTCTTCCTTCACGGTCATAAATTCCTGATATTCAGGAGTGAACTCCTGATGATCTTCTGATATTTACTATATTCTTAGGCAATTTAGGCTGTAAAAAGCAAATAAAAGGCTCTTCATACTAATTATAGGATCTAACCAGCATGAAGTCCTATCTCAAATTAGATGAAATTCATAATTAAATGCCTTTCCCATAGATTATTTTCAGAGCGTCTTACCAGCATGATCTTTCCGATATTGATTAAGATTTGAACTACGTAAAAAACCTTCCCACATTCTTTGCATTCGTAAAGTTTTTCACCATTTTGAATTCTCTGATGTTGAGAAAGGTCTGAGGAACAATGAAAGGCCTTTTTACACTCCTTACATTCAAAGCATTTCTCACCAGTATGAATCCTCTGATGCCGGATAATGGCAGGGCTACTACTAAAGGTTTTCCCACATTCCTTACATTCGTAGGGTTTCTTACCCATATGAATTCCCCAATGTTGACTAAGGCGTGAAGGGTGATAAAAGGTCTTTCCACATTCTTTACACACATGTGGTTTCTCACCAGTGTGAATTCTCTGATGTTCTGTAAGTATAGAACTATTACAAAAAGTCTTTCCACATTCGTTACACACATATGGTTTCTCACCTGTGTGAATTCTCTGATGTTCTGTAAGTTTGGAGCTGCTACAAAAGGCCTTTCCACAATCTTTACATATATAGGGTTTTTCACCAGTATGAACTCTCTGATGTCGGTTAAGGGCTGAGCAACTTCCAAATGCCTTAGCACAGTTTTTACATTCATAGGGTTTCTCCCCAGTATGAATTCTATGATGTATAAAAAAAATACAATGCACTCTTAAAGGCCTTGCCACATTCCTTACATTCATAGGGTTTTTCACCAGTATGCGTTCTCTGATGCCTTTTAAGATCTGAGGAATAATGAAAGACTTTGTCACATTCTTTACACATATAAGCTTTCTCACCAGTGTGAATTCTCTGATGTTCTGTAAGTACTGAACTGCTATGAAAGGCTTTTCCACTCTCCTTACATATATATGGTTTCTCACCAGTGTGAATTCTCTGATGCAGAGTAATGGCTGATTTACTACTATAGGCTTTTCCACATAACATACATTGATAAGGTTTCTCACTCGCATGAAGTCTCCGATGATAAGTAAGGTCTGAGGAATGATAAAAAAAAAAATCCCACCTTCCTTAACTAGACAGGGTTTCTCACACGTGTAAATTCCCTGATGTGATAGAAATACTGAGCCAGTACCAAAGGCTTTTCCACATTCTTTACCTTCATAGATTTTCTCCTTAGTATGAATACAGTATGTGCACAGTATAAGGCCCTATCACATTCCTTATGTTCAGTTTTCACCAGTGAACATGATCTGATGTTGAGTATGTTTTGAACCTCTACTAATAACCTTCCCATATTCCTTATGGTTCCTGAACTTCTTGCCAGTATCAATTCTCTGATGTGTAGTTAGTTGTAAGTCATGTACAAAAGCTTTCTCACAGTTCTTGCATTCATAGTCTTTCTCTTCCATATATGATTTTTGATATGGAGATGTGTTATGACTGAAAATGTATATATTTTCATAGTTGAAAATAACTTGATTAAAATTTTTCTCATGAGATCCTTGTTTTTTGTCAGTCTTTCTTTTACATTCCCAGTCATTCTGTAACAGGAACACTCAAGTCCATGTTTTTTAAGACTTCCCAATATAAACCACTGGGGTGATTCTATTTCATAAACTTCCTTCTTCAGAGATAATTCCTTGGTTTTACACCAAGATTCATGTTCTGAAAGAAAGCATAATAGAAAACATTCACTTTTTTCCCCCTGGAAGAAATGAAACTTTTATGGTATAAATAGGGGAATTAATTTGAAATTAATGTATATGAGATGTAAATTATTTATACAGTGATCAAATATACTGGTAGAATTTGATAAATGCACAAAGCACATGAATTGATGGGAAGTCATACTGGATGATGAGGTGATTAGGAAATTTTAAATGGATAATTTCCAAATTTTGAAACAAATTAGAACTACAAGGAGGTAACATTTTTCAACCGTCAAAATGGCAAAAATCTAAATGTTTGACAACATATTCTTTCAGGAAGCTAAGGAGAAACAGGTTCTCTCATTCATTACTAGTTGGATGACAATATGGTATACCCACTGTGGAGGAGGCTTCAGCATTCCCTAACCAAATTACATATTTACTTACCCTTTTATAAACTAGCAATCTGAGTGACATGACTCAACTCTCAAGATATACTGACATAAATTTTAAAAGATTTACATACAATGCCATTCAGTGAAGCACAATTTATAATAACAATTACTGGAACCAACCCAAATGTCCATTCTCAGATAACTGGCTGAAAAACTATGGTGCATCTACTAAGTGGAATATATTTTCCAACTATAAAAAGGAATGAGGAAAACCCTTTTTTTAAGGATTTTATTCATTTATTTGAGAGAGAAAGAGAGCAGGAGTTAGCACAAGCAGGAGCGCAAGTTAGAGAGCACAAGCAGGGGGAGCAGCAGAGGGAGTGGGAAAAGCAGACTCCCCACTGAGCAGAAAGCCTGATGTGGGGCTCTATCCCAGGACCCTGAGATCATGACCCAAGCGGAAGGCAAATGTTTAACCAACTGAGCCACCCAGGCACCCCTGAATGGATGAAAATCCTTATACCTCCTTGAAGTTATCTCCCGGACATACTGTTAAGTGAGAAAAGGAAGGTGGACTAAATTGTATATAGCATGCTGCCATGAAAATAAGAAAGGGAGGTTAAGAAGATATATACAATTGCTTTTATTTAGAAAAAAAATGGAAGGGTAAACTCACTGGAGAGAGAGGTGGAGAACAATGTACAGTAGACTGGGATAAAAGCTAGACTTCCCTGAATATACACTATTTTATGGATTTGCCATTGGAATCTTGGAAATATTCCATATAATTATAAAACAAAATCAAAAGAAACCTCAAACTACCAAAAACAAATTAAACATGATTTTAGTTTTATAATCAATTTGGTACACTCCAAGTAGAACTATTGGTGATCATTTCAAAATTCAGAAATCTACCTGTATAGCACCAGTGGATCATAACCCATAGTTCCAACAAAGAAGCAGGATGTGAGAACTTGCATGACTAGATACCAAGCTGTGTACCACAGTCAATTTTATTTCAAACCCCATAGTGAAGAAAAAACAGTAACTGTAATTGAGCACAGAAGGGGCCTAGAAGGTACTTGCGATGTTCTATTTCTTAAACTAACAGAGTAACAAGATGGGTCTTCACTGTATTATTACTCAGACTGTGCAATTTGGTTTCAAAATTTTTATACGCACGAAAATGTTATGGGTTGAACTGTGTCCATATGTTGATGTCCTTACCACCACCACTACCATGCCCCTACTTCAGAAGGTGACCTTATGTGGAAATTAGTTAAATTAAGCTGAGATCATACTGGAGTAGGATGAGCCTCTAATATAATATGACTAGTCTTCTTGTAAAGTGAATCTGGAAACACACACATGCAGAGAACATGTGAAGATGAAGACAAAGATCAGCGTGATGCAGGAAAAGACAAAGAATGCCAAAGATTGCCAGCAAGTCATTGGAAGCCAGGAGAGAAGCATAGAAAAGATTCTCTTTCACAACTCTGGCAAACAAATACAACATATTTCCCAAAAATATTTGAAAAGGGTTTTTAAAAGGAAAAAGACTTTTGAACATCTTTTTGTACCAAAAAGTAAGTGAGCACTTAAAAAATTATGTCAGCATGTTGGAAAGACCTAGAGCTACCTGGAAGGGGTTCTGACTTGCCAAACCTGGGTGGTTTAGGCACTAAAATAATTAATTAATTGTAAACCTTTGCAAAGAATACAAAACCATGAGGCCTCATCTTTTGATGAGGAATACAATATTACCATGGTGCCTCCCCACAGATGACTGATAAGTTGCAGAAAAAATAAAAACTATACAATAGAGAAAGTGGACAATATTTGGGACAGGTAATCAAAATTAACATAATCAATGAGGGGCAGAAGCAAATCATATACTTTTAGATATGATGTCCTGAGGAGGACAAAATATCACATATTTGGTATCCTGGCAGGAGAAGAATAACCTGAACTTAATCATGAGATAATACAGAAAAGCTAAATGAAGAGCATTCTATTAAAAAAAGAAAGTGGAGGGGCACCTGGGTGGCTCAGTCGTTAAGCGTCTGCCTTCGGCTCAGGTCATGATCCCAGGGTCCTGGGATCGACCCCTACATCAGGCTCCCTGCTCTGCCGGAAGCCTGCTTCTCCCTCTCCCACTCCCCCTGCTTGTGTTCCCTCTCTCACGTGTCTCTCTCTGTCAAATAAATAAAATCTTAAAAAAAAAAAAAGTGGACTTTATTCTTCAAAAAATGATCATGTAATTATAAACAATGAAAGTCTAATAAACTTTTGCAACTTAAGAGAAAAGTAAAGAGACAGTAAAATGCAAAGCCAAAACAGACTGAATCCTGTACTAAATGGGGAGAGAAAATGCTCTAAAGACATTATTGGGACAGTTGACACAACTGGAATGTGAATGGTCAATTAAATAAAAATATTTTACCAATGTGACATTTCTTAAATGTTACTAGTGATGTTTTAATAATGTAAGAGAATATTCTTGTTCTTTGGAAGTACACAAAGAAGTATTAAGGACTAAAAGGCCATGATGTTTACAATCTATTATTAAATGGTTCAGGAAAAAAATGATATGTATGAGTGTATGTGGGTGTGGAGCAAGAAAGAGACAGGGATGGGCGCCTGGGTGGCTCAGTTGGTTGAGCGACTGCCTTCGGCTCAGGTCATGATCCTGGAGTCCCGGGATCGAGTCCCGCATCGGGCTCCCTGCTCGGCGGGGGGTCTGCTTCGTCCTCTGACCCTATCCCCTCTCATGTTCTTCTCTCTCAAATAAATAAATAAAAACTTTAATAAAAAAAAAAAAGAAAGAGACAGGGATGGGGGAGGGGGAGAGAAAGAATGATAAAGTAAATGTGTTAAAATATTAAAATTGGAAAACTGCTGAGTTTAGATAAAGGATATAAAGGAGTTCTCTGATTCTTGCAACTTTTCATTGAAATTATTTTCTACAACTATGTATATACATATATACGTGTATGTATATGTATATACACATGAAGAAACACTCCTACACTCATTTAATGAAGCTAATAAAGTCTTTAAACAAAATGAACCAAAAATTGTATGAGGAAAGAAAATTATAGGCCAATCTAAGTTACCAAATAGATATGCAAAATCTGAATAAAATGTTAACAAACTCTATCCTACAATGTCATATAAAATAAACCAATATGACTGTGTTAATTTTATTCTAGGAACACAAGGTTGCCATTATAAAATTTACTATATACTAAACCAATTAAAGAGAAAAAAGGATTATTTCTAAAGATAGGGAAAATAATTTGACAAAATTGAACATCTAATCATAAAAATCAACTCTCAACAAGCTATGAATAGCTTCAAAGACATTATTTAGGTCATTATTTAAAAGGTCATTATTTAGGGAAGATGGAGCTTCAGCCTCAGCCCCGGTAGAGCTGCACATATTCAACTCTACAGAGCTCAAGCTTTCTCTTTGGCAACAGGGAAATGGAATATACAGGATATTTGAAAGGAGCTGAGAAATTCACAAGGGGAGGAGCAAATATCCCAGAGGGAAGACTGAATTTTTAGAGACAGGTATGCTTAGCAACTAAGATCAGGTTGTTATAGTTTTCCAAAATCACATTTCTGTACAAATCCCTCTGATCAGAATCCAGGCATCCCCACTCCTCCTGAGAAAAGTCTATAGACACATCCTTGATCACCCCAGTCCCTGAAAAAATAAATCTGTGTATTAAGGTTATAATAAAAACAAAAGCTTTTAAATGGGAGGAGAAAAGAAAAAGGTGAAAATATAGGTGATAAAGAGAGTGTTTATAGGAAAGGACAGATAGAACAAACAGGCTGGGTCTGGAGGTCTGGATGTCAGTATGATTTAATTTATGTTCTCAAACATTCCAGTTCCTGAAGATAGATCAAACCACCCAATCACAGTAGGGACATTTCCAGTATCCAAGCAG